GCACAGCTTCCGTCCCTGCTCGCAGCATAGTGACAGACGCATCTCCAGCCAAATCAACACCACCGTGGCAGCAACAAAACTTGAGAAGCAGTACCAAGACGTGTCTGCCGGGTGCTCAGAGCTACTGGGGACGACTGTCTCCACCACCAAGTTGCTGCACATTGTCGCGGAGGCCCACAAGCCCAGTACCTGAAAGCTGACCTGCAGCCGCACCCAGAAACGAGTCGCCCAAAGCTCTACAAGATCGGTGGCTGCTCTCACCACGCGCACAGGAGACGTGGTAATGGGAACCTCTTTGAAGCCGTCGCTGGGCTCCGGAAGCTTGACTGAGGTCCCGACTATTCCCTGTGGAATGACTCCTTCTTCGTCCAACGGCTCGGTGAGCTCCAAGCGATTATAGATGGTGTTGTCAAGGATGCGCCACGCAAGCCATGCAAACTTCTGGTTTGCATACAGGAGCAATCCATGTTCAGAGCAAGCTTGGCATCATCGATGCACGGCTGGGAAGACACGGGATTGCTCAGAAGGTTCGAGAATAACAACAAACCCTTGATCCGTTTAGCGTGCTTGTGGTATGTACAAACTGGATGGGAGGCCAAGTTCGTGAGATCCTTGTACCACATCGTGTGCGTCTCCCGCACATACATGCAGACTCGGCTCGGGCCTCCTCTGGTCCAATCGAAGGCAAGCTTCTTTGCGTCCTCTTCTTTTACATCCTTCTGCTCTTTTACGTTGTGACCTGGGCTGCATCCCATATACATATGTGCTTTGTACTTGTGTTTGTTGATCATGTGTTCTACGCACAGAGCTCAGAACACCCAGCCAGGATTCCCCAAAAGTCAAGCTCCTCCCAGCATTCCATCAGGTGGGTGTCCCCATCTTCCATCGTCAACGCCCCTGCCTCGTCCCACAGAAGCACCGGACGGCTGTCCGATGCCCGCAGGCAGGCCATCTCGAACTCTCCCAGGCTCTTCACCTGCTCTGTTCTACAAGAGACAAGGTTTAGGGTTTAGGGGTTTAGGGTTTAGAGTTTAGGGTTTAGGGGTTAGGGTTTAGAGTTTAGGGTTTAGGGTTTAGAGTTTAGGGTTTAGGGTCAAGTCGCCAAGGGACTCACTTCTTCTGGAGGATGCTCTACCTTGCAGTAAGCCCCCGCCCTCAGAACCCCAGTTGCCTCGCCCTGCTGCTTCAGCTGGCCAAACCAAACCCCGAAGATCCCAACTTAAAACCTGAACGTCATCAACAAGCCAAATCCTTTCTTGGCAACGTAACGCCGAAATACAAACAACTGGCCCTCCCTTTCAACATGCTCACCTCGCCATCGCCCTCTCCCACCACTTCGCGGCGGAACATAGAGAAGGAGGCACTTGCAGGTCCAACGACACATCCACAGGCCATTGCCTGGCGCGTGTTGAGGTAAAGGGGTGCAGGCAAGCTGCAAGTTTACATCTAGATGCTTGAGTCCATGCCCCCGGGGGGGCCCCCCGGTCCGGACCCCCCGAACCTCCCCGCCCCCGGCCCGGCCCCCAGGCCGCCGCAACCCCGAGGCCTGGGGGGGCGGGGGGGGTCCCGGGGTCTGGGGGGGGGGTCCTGGGCCGAGCACGAATGAATGCAGAAGGCTGGTCAAATCGATGAGCCTTCCTCTTTTCAGACTATTCGGACACCGTTCTGGATTCACAGG